GGGTTAAAACCAAAATAAATTTAAAAAAAAAAGACATTTGAGTCACATGCCCAAGAAAAGAAAGGAGAGTGCAGCAGTTCCTCCTTGTGTTTCTCACCTTATCCCAGTAGCATTTCAGATCTTGTATTTTAACCATGCAGTCCCTCCGGTCTGTCAAAGGCATTCCCAGATGCTGAGGTGCAACTTCATTTAGCAGAAGAAATTTCTTAAGGAAAAAGATAAATTGCAGTTTTTCAATTAAATCTGCAGCGATGCAACAGATGAAATGCACATTTGAACCTAGTTTGTGTGAGATCTCGTGGAAATTGCTGCTAGCATTTTTCAGTCTCTTTTATTCAAGACATTTTGCTTGACATTGTAAAAAGAGAAAAATCAAGTTTCTGTGAGGAGCGATCACTTTTTGCCCTTACCTGTATCCTCTGGATGCTGATGAGAGACTCCGAGACATTTTCTATGGCGAAGGGGAAAAAGAGCGTGATGGTAAGTCTGACTGCCCCATAGAGGGAAACAGCCATGAACAGTTTGCTGGCCGACAGCCTGTTTCCTGTGAGCACATAAATGCAGACGGTGATAAAGATGATGATCTTGCTTGCCACAAAAAAGGACGCCATGTTCAGGCCACGAAGGTAAGAGCTTTGCATGATCTTGGAGATTTCCATTCTGTAACAAATGAAAGATAATGGTATGACATACTGCTTTGAAAAAAATAATAACAGATCTCACTAAAGGGCATGATGAAATGTGACGCTGCTCTGCTGCAAACTAGAAACTCGCATCATAAGAAAATTGAGTGAAAAACAAACTCTACTGCACCGTCTGACTTCATCCACGAGTGCGCCAAAAGGCTTCTCCCACCCGTACATCTTTATAACTCTGATCCCAGAAATAACTTCGTTCATTGTGCGGATTCGCTCGTCCTTTAGAGCTGCTGTTTCAGCCCTGAAAAGAAGGACACAAATTGCAGAAATGGAGGGACTGCAACACAAGGCAAGGTCTTTTATAGACCTAGCAAACCAAGGTGCAACTGATCCAAAATAAACCTCAGCCTGGAGAACAAACGTCCAAACAGGGTTTGTATCGGCATCAGAATGAAGAGGATCACCATTCCAGCAAGACACGATGGTCCAATGACATACAGCAACAGTAAAATCACGGACACTGCTTGAAGAGGACCGAGCCATAAGAAGTGCAAGTATAAGGTAACCTGAAGAGAGATGGAAAGGAGGCTGATATACTACATAAACAACGTTTTTTCTAATGTATACATGCGTACTTTGTAGTACTTAGAAACATTTCTGAAGAATGCTTTTAAGAGCGGTTACATCCATCAGCTCTAAGTGTACAGAAGAAAAAGCCCAAGTTTTCAAAGAAAAGAACAATATATCCACTGTAAAACATGGAGGGTGTTTGGTTTCCTTTCGCAGCAGCCTTATTGCATCTGGTGCTGTGAATCATCAATCTTTGCAGCGATCAATGAAGTCAAGAGTCGACCAAGTCACCCTTCGGAGAAAAATGCTGCCCAGTGTCAGAGAGCTCAACTTCAGTTGCAGACCTTGGGTCTTTCAACAGGATAATGACCCAAAATATGCAACTGAGTGCACAGCAGAAATTACAGAGAAATAAACATTAGATTGTTTGTGAATGGCCCTCCACGAACACAGACCTTAATCTTACTGATAATCTTTGGACAGATGTACAAACTGCAGTGACGTGAACTTGAGACAGCTCTAGCAGTTTGTCCTGAAAGAAGGGGATGAACTACTGGTTGGCATATGCAAATACCTCATTATGAAGTACAGAGCATATTGGTTGTGGAAGCTACATATATATATATATATATAAGCCATTTTCAATACACAAAATATTTAACTTTTATCTTTAATTTAGTCAGTTTCAAGTTAGTTCAAAGAAAAATTATCTATTTTTTTTATTTTTTGAGAACGTGGCAACAAATGTATGCGCATCTGCATATAGAACAATTTCTCTAAATGTCTTATGATTTTTAAAGAAATCAAATCAAAATCTAGAATCTTGTGATTTAATCTAACTATATTTAGGGATAGAATGTCAAGTTACCTCATCAAATTTGTTGACATCGTTGGATAAGAGGTTCACAATCTGTCCTGTGGTTGTTTCAGCCATTGCTGAGCTGCTGAGACAAAGAGCCTTTGCAGAGCAAAGGTGTCAAATCAAGTCTACAGAATAAACTCAGCACAGAAGGAAACATTTCTCCTGCGGAGCAACACGACGACTGACCTTCCGATAGATCATGTGGCACATGGCCACACGTATCTTCATGCCAGCCCGCTGGACTTGGTAGAAGTACACATGATGAAGCAGAGCTAGGCCTATGGTGGCCAATGAAATGCCTGCAGCACAGCTGTAAGCTTCAGAGACCGAAGATGGCTCAGCAGTGTCGTAGCTCTCAAAGAACTCGATTAGCTTCCCAAGTAGCACTGGCTGAATGACTTTGATAAATTCCTAATAGACAAAACAATAGTAAAACAAAAGAAATGTGAACAGATACCCTTTCAATGTGTCTTGAAAGGGTATATGTTCCTTGAACTTGTTACACATTTTCAGCACAAATATACTTTTAAATGATTTTATGTTGTAGATCAACACAAAGTAGTCCATAACTGTAAAGTGGAAGACAAATGAATCAACATATAATCCCCATGGTGAAACATGGTGATGGCAGCTGCCTATTAGCATAAGCTAAAGTTAATGTTAGCCATGCTGAGGGGGTGGTTTCCTTCAGAAAACTGGAAAACTGGAAAGCTGGTTGGAGGTGATGAGAATTTGGATGGAACCATTGGGCTCTTTGCACGTACGGCGCTGACGTCACATCCATGTGAGCGAAATGCGGCTTTCTGGTTTCTGCTTTGAGTTACCATGACAGCTACAAAAGACAAAGTCGTATTTCAAATGGAAATAAAGCACTGTTGTCTTCCAAACATAATGGGATTTTAAGTTTTCATGGATTTCCAAGCGATCCTGAATTAAGAAGACGGTGGCTTGTAAATATTTGTTGCTACCAGTTAAAGCTAACGCCGCACAGCAAAGTTTGCAGCCTTCACTGCACTCCGGATCAGCTTCTTCAGCCTAAAACTACCGGAGGGAGACGGATGGTAAATAAAGAAGCCATCCCTGTATTATTTCCATAAAATCACTTCTATATTTCGTCCGAAAGAACGAGTATATGGGAACAAGTACAGTCACAGAACGCACTGCTGTAAACACCATCTCTTCACAAGAAGCATGCAAAAGTAATAAAACGAAATAACACAGAGACCTTAAAGAACATGGTAGCACAACAACTTTGAACCTGAACAGCCAGCTGAACTGGAACTCTGACAGCAGAGCTGCCCTACTGTTAGGCTGTGGGGCTTGTTGAACTTCCTCATGCTTCGGAAGCAAAAAGAGCGAACCGTAACCTCCCTCTGTTTGACACTAACGACAATAAACACACAATATACTTGAAAATAAGTACAAAATAAGGTAAAAACATTGTCCGCTAGAATGGATTAAATGTTTAGATACTTAAATAGCAGATTTTTACAAGAAAAATGTCAGAGAATATTGCCTACTAGCATTAGCTAAAGTTAATGTTAGCCACAAAGTTTAAAGAAAGTAAAACTCACCTCAGTATCCGTGAATGTTTAACGAGGTGTAAATCTTAAAGCCTTTCTCCAGCTTACTTGTTGTTGATGATGTACTTCGGATCGATGTACATCATCATTACCTTGTGGATGGAGTATCTTTACCTTGGCCAAGCCTTGCAAGCACCTAGTGTAAAATACCATTCTCAATAGACCGGAAACGACCGAGCCGCTTTTCCCCGAACACGGAAGCTGACGTGCAAAGAACCCTATGGCGATGGTAAAGTAAAAACTTTGATAAGGGCGAAGTTCACCTTCCACCAAGGCAATTACTCTAAACATGCAGTCAGAACTACAATAAAGTGGTTTAGATCAAAGATATATAATGTGGAAGTATTCAGGGCATATGAGGTCTTTCTACCTCTATAAAGATGTACATCCCAATTAATGAGTATGGTTTCCAGTAACAGTGGATGAGAGCTCTGGCAAGTCTGGGTGGCCGCAGATCTTTTATGGCCTGCTCAACTTCTTGATTCCAAAACCTTAAAAAAGAAAAACAAAGATCTATCTAAGATCTACTACCATCAATAGCAACATGACCTTATGTGCCTAATTAATGTATTTAACAAGAATCATCTAATCTGTCTCAGACTAAAAAGTCTTATACTTGGCTGCCTATAATTACCTTTTTAAGTACCGAGTTCGGTCTATGAAAAACAGCAAAGTAAAACTTAAATTGAATTGGAGTTGAATTTATTTATATGACTCGACTGAACTGAATATATCGTGGTGAATATAAACTTGATGTATTTGTTTTGTCATGTGCCTCAGCACTGAATGAGTAAACTGAATTAAGGTTGAAAGGGACAGTGTTATGATAAACATTGACGTACCCATGACTTCACAGAAAGAAGCAACAATGGGATTTTGTTTGAGAACATACCACCTTCACATTTTTCATATTTTACCACATTACAACAACAAAGTTCAAGGTATTTTGTTCTAAATGTATGTAAATCCTGTATTTAGTTCAAGCCACAGTCCCTTCAGCTCTGGCAAACTTCCTCGTTTCTGCTGAAGAAATGCATCATATTTTTTTCTCTGCCATTTTAGCTGTGGTGAGTTCAGGGTGGTTTTAAATTAACATTTTGGCAAGAAGTTAATTTTGGTCTTTAAAGCCCAGAGAGTTTGCTGTGTAAACCACATGGTTTGTGACAAACTGATTTAAATTTGAATATTCCTTTTAGGTATGGTAAAGCTTGATATGTTGTTTTTCCAACCTTACCCTACTTTAAACTTCTCCACAACCTTCTCCCTGACCTGGTGTGTCGCTCAGTCTTCATGATGTTTATTGCTCATTGATGTTCACTAACAAATCTCTGACACCTTCACAGAACAACTCGATTTATAAAGATGTTGCTGTTTAGAAGTTAGTTGGATTCTGAAAATCTTTGGTGGGAATTAATTTTAAGTGTGCCAAGGGGATGGACTGAAATGTCTATACTGGTAAAAAAAAATACATAAATAAATAAAATAAAATAACTAAAAATGTTCAAATTCCAATACAATCCACTGAGATTTGTAGTTGTGATACCACAGAATGCACCAAGTTTCAAGCATCCTATTTCAGTTTTGTTCCAATGCCAAAAATCTGATTAACACAACCTCTAAATTCAAACATATCGTTGGCTAACACAGGAGTTATTATGATAGCAGTAGGAAAGAAGCTTTCCTTCATGTACGAGTTTGAAAAGTACAATCTAAATATAGGTGGGCTCTTCTCCAAGCACAATGTTCCCTCTGAGGCCACACTTCCTCACAGAAAGCAGCCTCTGCCGTATGTGGAAGAGGTGCAGGCTTAAGATGTCAGGCAGTTGGAGGAGAAAATGGTCTCTGTTTTGCTATGACACTTGAGCTTTCGCAATGGAAAATAAAGTTCATTTAACCTGAGAACATACCCTATTCTATTAACAGCTAACAGTAAAATTTGAACTCAAGCTCCTATACTGTCCTAAAACCTAATGTTGCATTGGTTTCCAGAGGGCCTCAGGGATCTAAATCTGAGTTAAATTTTGTGTGGGTCAGTCAACTAGAGCACAGGCACAGAGAGGATATTATAGAAACAGAGAACAGTGGAGGATTTCTACACTTGAGGAAGTCTTGAAAAAGTCAAATAAAGATAGGAATGTCCTAGATGTTTGTCAGCACAGGGACTGCAGTGGTTATAAAATGTTTGAATCTCTCTTTTGTCTTCCCATAGCACATCAGACTGATTTTGAATAATTTCTTAAAATTCACCTTTTGTGTTGACTTTTGACAAAAGATGATATTCTGACTTCATTTTATTTATTTATTTTAGTTTTGATTGCATGGCCAGTTATATGTGTGCTTAAAGTATTTGTCATTTTACTATTTTATGTTTTGTATCTATGTAATTGGTCCTGTGTGGCAAAGTAAAGTGCTAGATTTGGATTGGATATGTCTCTGTTCTTAATTTTGATTTTTTTTTTTTTTTTTCAGCATCAAAATAGCAAATAAAATGCCTTGTCTGCTTGCCGTATATTGGAGGGTTCCACGAAGAACAGGGTAATAACACTATGATGGTGAATAATAATGGTGGATCTGCCCAAGCAGAGTTTGTGTCTAAAAAAAACACACTGAATTTCTTTAAAATTCAAATTACTATAGAATCCTAATTCAACTCAAGTGAATTCAACTATCTGTAAGTGACTACAGATACTTTTACACTAACTTAACAAAAATAAGTGAGTGTGTTACCGCTGTAGTTCCTCTCCAAGTCGCTGAGATGCGTCCTCTGGGAGAACTCTGTACATGTCATCCTCTTCCAGTCTCCTCTTGTACCCAACTCTGAATAAGGGGTTCAGCCAGCTAAGAATACAATATATGACCGCATGTTAATTATTTTTACAACAATAAGTAAAAGAAACTAACAACCAGACAAAAAAAAAAAGTTCCTCAAACATAGACAAGGTTAAATTTGGTTATGCTAAAGAGTTAGTATAACCAAACAGACATAAACAAAATGTCTTTTTTTTGTTCACTACACAAACAGACATTTCGTCTCGCTGTCAGACAGACAGCGAGACGATGAGGGGGAGAGGTGGGAAAAAGAGGAAGGGAGAAACGCAGACAAAAAGGAAGATTTACATGTGCTATGATTATGCCCCTAGGAGCCTGGGGGAAGCCCAGATAATCATGTAAAAGCCTTGAAAGCTTCTGAGTGGCTAATTCATACCACTCAAGTTAAATAAAAACGCATATGTGGATGTACTTTAAAGCAGTCACTGAAATAGTCTTAATCATCCTAATGTGGCATTGAAAAATCTAAAGAAATCAGAAAACATGTCAGGAATAAAATCATAGGCCTCCACTTGGATACAATCGGACCATAATGATCGGCATTACATTTACAGAAAACAAGGCAAAAACTTGCAAGCCTGAGAACATTTTCCCAGCTGTGAGGTACGGCGGTGGCAGTATTATGTGTGTTAGAGTGTTGTGCTGTAGGAGCAACTGCTGTACTTCACAAAATAGATGGCATCATGAGGAAGGAACATAGTGTGAAAATATTAAAGCAACGCCTGCCAGGATGTTTCAACCTGAGCACCAATGGATCTTTAAAATGGACAGTGATTTTAGGCACACTACCAAATTAGTTGTAAAGTGGTTCAAGTCCTCTCTATCCTGGAGAAAGTTTCTTAGCAGAGATACAGGGGTATGTGTGAGAAAGACAACAGTTTTGTCAAAGGGAATAGGCCAAAATTCCTAAACAGAAAAAGTTTAGTCTGTGTTGATGTCAGTCAGTGAGAAACATTGTGCATTTTTTATACTGTGCATGTAAATATCATCGGTATGGAAAACTCATTTAAAGAAGACACTATTTGAAAATGCTTTTTTTTTCTTTTTTTTATTATTTCATGCTTGAAGACAATTGGCAATCCCAATATTTCAACAGTAACAGCTAATGTTGTACAAAAATGTTAACGCAGATAATTTAATGCAATTTAGGATTATTGTTATTGCAAATGGAAATATAACAATCCTTAATAAAAGAACATCTATACATAAAGCAATGTTAACACAAATAAAACTAGGCCAATAAAAGGGCTTATGTTGACTTTGTACATAAATCCTTTCTCAAGCTTGTTTTTTTCTCCTAGAATTAAAGTGGAGTATTGTTTTAATGCTAAAAAGCAGAACTTTCTGCCTAATATGATGCTCTGCAGCTACCTGTTATCACATCCAGGAAAGGGTCTCGTCACTGTCCACTGCCCATGCACTCTGCAAAGCTCTCTGTTCAGCTCAGGTCACGCCACACTGTCAGTGGGAAAGGGCAGTTTTTCTTACCAGAAGAAAATCTTGGAGAGAAGATTAGCTGTGGCTGACGGATTATCCTCCTTCTCCTTATTCAGAGGTTCCATTGCCCCAACAGTGAAAGCAAACCCAGCAGGCTGCTTCTGCAGGCTATGTCCCAGAGAGATATAGAGGTGAAAACACAGCGAGAGCACCTGTTATGAACTCTTCTGTGTGTCAGATTCGGCCCTTGTGACATTCAGGGCAGGATTACTGCAGGAGATTGGCAGCCGGTGTCCCGGTGTTGTAACTATCTGTGCAACCAGTTCATTTAACCCCCCTACCTTGTGATAATGCGCATGCGCACATCGATGCTACGTCACATAGCACCGAGAGATAGACATAGCTATCTATTCGGATAGATAGCTATGTCTATCTCGGTGAATAGGAAAATCAGTAGGAAAATCTGACGAGAAGCAGCTTTGCGCATGCGTGATCCGCTTCGGCTCACTCGACTCCGAAGCGGATCTTCAGATTTTTGTTCCTTAATTTATTATCCAACAGACAAATGTTGCAAAATCAATGAGAGCCCATGGTCTGAAATGACTATATTCAACAGCTCTTCTTCTTCTTCTGGGTCAGTGTAAAGTGAAATGTGCATTTTGAGTTTTAAAATACTATACGAGTTTGTTATTTGGCTTTTGATGGTTACATTTACAGATTTACCTGCGTAAATTTGATGGAACGGTTTAAAATATCTTGAATGTAGTTATGACTAGTCAAAGTTACATTTTTAGATATCTGAATTAAGAATTGCGTGGAAGCCCCTTTGTGCTGTCCAAACAGTTGCCTGTTTGGTCAGAATTTTATGTTTCCTGCACAAAATTGTCAGTAAAAGCCACAATGTAGAAAGAGCTCGGAAATGTTGGAAATGCGGAGAATGCAAAACTTCAAAAACTATAAGACTGCTTCTGAAATCTGCAAAGAAAAACAACCTCACCTCAAAACATAAAGGAAAGTGACACGATGTCCTGTTGGCTGTTTGTTAAAAGCCATGTAAAACACAGCATTCATGTGGAACAAGGTGCTATGATCAAATAAAACCAACATTGAAAAATTTGACCGACATGTAAAATGTTATATGCGCAACACTGCTGCACATGAATCTGAACCATCCTTCCCCTGATGAAACATCATGGTGGCGTTACATCTCCTTCCAGTCTAACTGATCTATTTTGCAAAGAATGTGCCAAATTTTCTGGACCAGAATGTAGGTGTTCAGTTTAGACTTATGGAAAAATAAACTGACCTCTGGCTGTGCATCTTATGTAATGATAGAGGAGCCTAATGCACTGAAACTTTGAAACTCTGCAAGTGGGTACAGATAATTTGGTGGGATGTTGACTGGTGAGCTTTCAAATTAAAACAGAAGCGTTTTTAAAAATTATGAGCCATTTGGATCCACATTTTCTACTTCAGATCCTATTCTTCAAGGTAACATGAACAATGACATACATGTTCATAAAACAGCTGGTAATCATTACTCTCACAGTTGCTAAATACTGTGTGCTAAAATAGATGAACCAGTAACTGGACTTTGTCACCTGTTTGTCTCCTATTTTGTTTAGGATTAATGATTACTTCTTTATTATTTTTATGTTAATATGATACTTGGCATAATGAGAACACACAAATCAAGGATTCTCTCTTTTTCCCTTCGAAAATGTAATGCCTAACTAATTTTTGCAGCATGCTCATCCTTCCTTTACTCGTTCACTTTGAGACACGCGTGTCCGTCCCTCACAAGGTGAGCGATCAAGATGTCCTGTCTGTTAATCATCTTTGTGAAACACATGTCCACAGTGTAATTCTACCTGCCTGAGGTCTTTTTTATTTCTCCTTATATCTTGATATTGACAAAGACAGCACACATTATTAAAGCTATCAAATGACAGGCTGGCAGATTCTGGCTTTCCTCAGTGGCCTAGCCGGGCTCTGCGCCACCATCGCCGCCACGGTGTCCAATGAGTGGAGGGCCACGAGCCGAGCATCCTCGGTCATTACAGCCACATGGGTGCTCCAGGGTCTGTGGAACAACTGTGCTGGGAATGCCATTGGAGCGCTACACTGCAGACCTCATCTTACCATCTTCAACCTTGAAGGTAAGAGATCACTGTATTCTGATTTCAGACTTCCAAAAAGTTAACTTTTTTTTTTTTTTTAATTTAAGACAGCAAATAATAAAGTGATTATGTTTTTCCAGATGAAAGTTTGTGTTTTAAATGTGGTAAATGTGTAAAAAAAAAAAAAAAATGGAGATGTTAAACCATGAATGTTTTTAGAGTCGTGGTGGAAAGTAAGTAATAGCTTGGTTAATGATACACCAGTAAAAAAATGAAGTTGAGCAAATTATGATACTGCCTTAATTTTGAAACAGTTTAGTTTTACAAAAGTTTACATTGTGCATAAAATACAGTGGAAGGAAGTACATCAGTGTAAATTACCAGTATTATTACTTAGACATCAGTGCAACGTAAGCAAACGCATGAAAAGATGCTCAGAACTTACTGGACGTAAGGAGCACACGATTGATGCTCAAAATATTTGTTACGTTAATCCAACACTATGTTTCATAAAGAAAATCACAAAATGTATTTAGCCACACTTATTTCACAATACATATTAAATTTGTCCTTACAGTAACAATAATTTTCCTTTGCTGTTTGTCACATAAAAACCTCAAACTTTAATGTTTTTGGGGGTTTTTTTGGACATACCAAAAACTGACAAGGGAAATTAATTATGTTCTACATTTTTCTTTTTACAAATAGAAATCTGACAAGTGTGATGTATGGATTCAGAACTTTTTACTGTTATCAACCAGAAAGAAACCCTGCAGTTTTGGTCTAATCTTCTCCTACATGTTCCTTTGTCCCCTACTTTGTTTGAGGAAAAATTCAAATGGGACCTCCCCCCACAGCATCGTGCTGCCTCTACCACCTCTCAACACTCTGATGTCTCCACAGAAAGCAGCTGTATTGATACTGAAATTAAAGTGAGAAAGTGAGATTCCTGACTTGAATTTTTTCCTGGCTTGTATTCTTTTTTTTTTTTTTCCACTTCACCATTGCTTAGTGTTAAATTATATCAAAATACACTGAAGTTTACAGTCGTGACGTGACATAATTTGAAAAGGTTCGTCTTCGGAAGGCACTGTGATTCGCTTAGTTTTCTCCGATAAGTTTCTTCTTTTCCCTAATTCTTTTGTTGACTACAATAACCCAGGCTTAACAGGACAATCAAATTAAATTTGAGAGGCAGAAAGTCTTCAATATCTTTTCTATTATCTCGAATCAACTTATCAGTTTCTAAAAGCAGTCCATTTTGAGGAGTTCTGATTCGTTTTGCTTTGAATGATCATAAGATCCCTGCTCAATAGTTCTAGGATAATGAAATTATGTGAAACTTCTGCAAGTACCAGATTTATCTCCCCTATGGAAAGCTTAACATATCAGATCGATGCTAAATTTATGTTTGTTCACTTGTGATTATCAACAAATTGACAACAAATTACTAATCTAAATCTAACATGATAAAAACTGGAGCTCCCACATAAGCTAAATCACTTCTGGCATGTTACAAGATCACTTTCTTTTAATGAGCAAAAACTCTGAATACTCACGCCTATATAAAGAAAAATATATATCGGGCCCCTTTAAAATAAATAAATAGTACAACTTTAATACCTGTAAAATATTTGTACTTTAAAAGTAACTAATTTTTCAGCATGCCCTGAGCAAGCTGAATCAACTGCAGTGCAATAGACGATTCAGTACTTGGAGCATTCAGCCACAAGATGGAGCTCTGATTCACATCAATAAAGCAGGATAAATCTTTAGTTTGGCAGTAAACATCTTCTGTTCTTTTATGTTTGGAACATTGCTGGTAATCTCAACATCTCCTTTCTTTGAACTGAGAGTATAATTCACCCTTTTGAGATTAAAGTGAGATAATGTTAATAATTCAACTAAAACTTGCTATTTCAGGACTAAGAGGAAGCTGCAACACTTAAGTTGAGCATTAATCTCAACCTTCTACAAGGTGAGAGAGAGTGAAGGATATGTTCTCTCAAGGAAAAATAGAAGATGACGGAATGTTGACAAAGCTCAATATAGAGCAAGGAGAGGTTTTCTCCTTGTGCTTCTACATTAAAACTTTTCCATAAACACCCCGAACACGTTCTGGACGTGTGCCAAGCTTGAATATCTAACTTCTTTAGTAACGACTTCACTAACCATCTACGTTCTGTGATTTCAGTCCCTACCAGTGCAGCTCTGAGTCACAGTGACTTTGTGAAAGGGCTGACCATTGGCCACCTGTTGATGTTTAGGGCCAAACTCCTCCCTTCGGAATATAACTGTCCACAACACATTAACTATCAATTGTTCACTATCCATTCAACAAACTCAAGCAGAGCAAAGATACCTTTTCCCAAAAAGTTTTTCTCAGCCATTAATTAATTTCCGCCCGTGCCACCTGAATTATCGTTCCGGGCGGCGTGAAGGAGTCGTCCTTGCAGCATGAGCGGCATGTATCAGGAGATCATGGCTTTTGTCTTAACTACATCGGGCTGGATACTGGAGTCTTCCACCGTGTCAATGGACTTCTGGAAGGTCTCCTCAAACGATGGATCTGTCATTACCACATCTACTTTTTGGGCCAATCTGTGGAAGCACTGTGTGACCGATTCGACGGGGATCTCCAACTGCAGAGACTTTCCGTCAATGTTGGCTCTGGATGGTCAGCTCCATTTTTAAAATGATCCGTTATTCATTGCAGTGGCTGCTTTACCTCATTCTTATTTGTTTTACTTGATTTATACAAAGCTGAAATGTGTGTTTAACTTTCTTCTTCCCGTAGCGTTTTAAAAAAAACATTTTAAACACCAGCTTGTTTCCTCCTTCAGTTTTGTTAGAAAATTCAAGTTCAAGTTTATAGACAAAAAGATGACAGGATGCCCAAGGCAAGTTTCCAATGAAACACTCATTTACACCCAAATATGTTAATGTTTAGCCTTTCTTCTTGGAACTTGAAAACCATAAAGAAGATTTACAAGGCGCCTCAGGCAGTGTTGGCCATGGATGACTACTTTTAGGGGTTGACTTTAGAGGTAATCTTTGCCTCAGAAGCTGATTGGAGTGACAAATGTCATACCAACAAAGTTACCAAAAATTGCCTGGCAGCAGTAATGGTCAATTGCTCTTCATGCTTTCTGTGTAAAGAGTTCAGAAGGTCAGTAGCTTATTGACCTTGCTGTGTTTTAAGCTGAGATTGAAAACCGCCAAATGAAGACAAAATACTCTTTGGATTCCAGACAGGTTTGGTTTGCTTCTGTTTCACAGGTTACATCCAGGCTTGCAGGGGACTGATGATTGCAGCCATCTGCTTGGGTTTGTTCGGTTCCGTGTTTGCTCTTGTAGGAATGAAATGCACCAAAATTGGAGGAAGCGACAAGAACAAAGCCAGGATCGCCTGCTTTGCTGGTGTAGACTTTATTCTCTGTGGTAAGTGCACATGATCTGTCTGAGCGGCAAAGATGTTCTCAAAACCATTTAATTGCTTGTTTCTTCTTCTTCTTTTTCTTCTTCTTCTTCTTCTTCTTCTTCTTAGGCATCTGCTCACTTTCTGCCTGTTCTCTCTATGCACACCGGATAACAACTGAGTTTTTTGACCCGATGTTTATGTCTCAGAAGTAAGTTTTATACTGAAGGTCTCTTTTGTGTTTTTCAACTGAGACGCTTGTGGGACATAGCCTAAAAGTATTTTTGTGTTGTCTCCAGGTATGAGCTGGGAGCTGCTCTCTTCATCGGCTGGGCCGGTGGTATCCTCTGCATTCTGGGGGGCAGTGTCTTCTGCTTCTCAGTTGCAGATTCTTTTTCAAGAAGGTTAGTATCAGCAACGTGTTTGCATTATGCATTAGATTTTTTTTTTTTTAAAGCAACCTCTATGTAATTCATGTTTGTGAGCCCTAAAGGAGTTTGACTTGTAAAGATGAAGCTGTGCTGTTTCTCCTTTGCAGCCACAGTCAGGCAAACTATATCTACAGAGGCGCTGCCTCACATTCACACATCACCGCCTACACAAGAGGGCAGACGAAGCCTGTAAAGGAAGGGCATGCTGCAGACAACAGCAGCTCCTCCAGGGTGCAGCACTTTGATAAAAATGCATATGTGTAAGGGAGGTGAATCCAAATCTTTTAAACCTAAAGTCGTTGGTGGACTTTTAGGAGTTTTACCTTCAGCATGTGAGATGTGACAACAGCAGCAGTGGGGTTCAGTCTAATAGCAGCTGAGGTCACGAAATAGATTTGTGTTTCACCTGTATTTCAGTTTTAAATTTTTATTTTTTTTTTTTTTTTGTCTTCAAGGCAAAGTACTTTAAAGGTTTTCTGACATAGTTTACTCAATGTTTTCGTTCTGAATATAAAAACATGAAAAGTGTGGACCAGGAATGAGCTTGTTTGATCAAATATGGTCATAATTCTCTGTGTATTTCTATGAAACTTTTGAATGTATGTTACTTTTATTTGCATTTTGGTTTAGTTGCTTGTACCTGTAACTGTATCAAAGCCATACTGACAAATTTAGAAATTGTAACATTTGATACATTTGAACATTTGTCATTGTGTATTTTTAGTTGTGTTTATATCAAAATAGATTAAAAAAAATATTGAGATCTGATTTTGTTCTAGTAGTTTTTCCTAAAGACATTTCAACCCCTCTTCATTGATTTTTCACAATCTCTGCAAATAGAAACATTAATATTACAGTCATTAAATCTTGGACTTGTGTGACGGAGCAGCAGCTCTGTATGCACAGCATCAAAGGCTCCTCCCTCGACTAGAGTGGCTTGAGCTGATGTGAAACAATCAAAACTAAAGACGGGCTGCAGAAGGTTTACTATAAACATCTTGCACAATGTCATACAGCCCTCACCCACAAAAATAACACAAACACAGTGTCATCATCTCCATCCTCTGCTATGACATATGGGACCTTTCCGACTCAAATGTAGACGTGTGAGCTCCGATCGTTTTATTTTTTTTTTACCTCCATGCTGCATTGGCAGATTTCGTCAATCCAGCAATGAAGAAGCGTTTGATACAAATATTTGGCTTCTTGATCACTTCTTTGGGATGGCTGTTCATTTTGTGCACCATGGCAATGGACTACTGGAGAATCAGCCAGATCGGAGGACAAGGCGGTTCCTTCATAATCAAGGTGGCCTGGTACTGGTCCAACCTGTGGAAGGACTGTTACACCGACTCCACTGCCGTCACCAACTGTAGAGACTATGGGGTCCTCTGGAGTGTCTTGTGTAAGTTGTCTTCCTTTAAAAAATCAAGTTTATTAATTGTAAAATTCACTGTGTTTTAACGATAAATGTTGAGACACCCTCAAAGTGATATGAAGAGTCAGAATGTTTTCAAAAACATACTGAATTTATTTAATGATTCATCAGCTAATAATTTAGGGCAGTCTAATCGGTTAGGTGTGCTATATACGCCATTTAATAAAAATTGGCTTCGGCAAACAGTGGATTTAGTGTCTCAGCCCAAAAGGCAGACCTTCTGTCTACTTTATTGAATTTTTAGACATATCTGAATGAGCTTTGGGGCATTAACTCTTCAAAAATTTAATGGAGAGTTATCATGTGTGGAGGATGATTGTTTCATATTCTAAAGATATGCTTAACATAAGTTCTTCACCACTAAATGCAATTCCAAATTCCAATTGTACTGTTGTACATCCTCTAACTAAGGTAAGGTAAGGTAATTTTATTTATATAGCACATTTTCAGCAACAAGGCAATTCAAAGTGCTTTACATGAGTTAAAAGGAAATACAAACAAAATAACAAACCAAAGGAAAGAAAAAGAAGAAAAAGAACAAAAGAAGAAAAATAATCTAATGTTGATCTAAAGTATGCATGTAACTAGGTGCTCCTGTTGCTAAGGATCCTTTGGTCTAATTCCATTTCTGGGTTGGGAGAACAGGAGTCTAAAAAGTAGTCTAACAATGTTGATCCACAAGTGTCCTCTGGGCTTCTGGTCTCTGCATCTAAATAGTGACTAACTAACTCAAGGCAAACCAACAATCATGTTTCTAGGGTTCTAAGCGGAGGAAACCAGAGTAAACAGGAGTCAAACATGCAAACTGCGTGCAGACAGACGCCAAGCCAGGACCTAATAAACCCAGAACCTTCTCGCAGCAAGAAAAGACAAAAGTACAACCAATAACATTTTCTTCATATTTTTTGTTGCTGACAGATTACGTCCAGGCAGTTCGGGGGTTGCTAATGTGCGGCTTGACGATTGGATTCTTTGCAGTCGTGTGTTGCTTTGTTGGGATGGAGTGCACTTACATCGGTGGAGCGGAACCAACCAAAGACAAGCTAGTCTTTTCTGGAGCCGTTTTTCATTTTGTTGGTGGTGAGTACAAGAGTTCAGGTGTGTTTTTCACAAAAAAAAAAAAAAGAAATGGAAGAAATGTTTTGCCTTTAATTATTTCTTGGTTTCGTCGAAACCTTTCCACACAGGTGTGTCAAATCTTGTTGCCTACTGCTTATACATCAACAGAGTTGCCAGATCAGCTTTTGCTACCAATTTACCAGCAGGAGAATTTGTGATAAGTTTTTTTTTTTTTTTTTTTTTTTTTTTTTTTTTTGTCGCTATAGGAAAATACTAATCAAAAGTTTTACATTATTAAAATGTGAATTTTTTTTTTCTGTTTTTATTTTAGGTATGATTTAGGACCACCCATATTTCTGGGTTTGGTGGGATGTTTTTTAATATTTTTTGGGGCTGTTCTGTATGCTGTGACGGTCATCAAAGTAATCTACCCTAATAGGTATGTCAACCACTCATCTCTTCTTTCGTATGTAATAAGTTGACCATTAACTTTATGTTTTGCTTTTTTAGAACAGTGATAGAGGTATATGGCAGACCAACATACATGCCCCCATCCTACAGAGGAAGAAGTTTGTACACAGGATACTACGAACCCTCCCGATTCTATGGGTCTTACGCCTCAGGACGATCAAGCACCAAGATCTCAAGGCTGTCTCAAGCTACACCAAAACTGTCAGAAAGAGATGCATTTGTGTAGTACCGCAGCTCTTTCAAGACTTGCAAAGTTCTGCAGCAGGGTTGGAAGAAAGTGTATAATGTCTGACTAAACTGAATGCAATGATTTTGTATCATTTTCTATCATTACTATGTTTTTCGTCACTGCTTTTTATCAATTAGCCAAAAGGCAAAGTCTGAGTTTTTGGATTTCACCATTTTTAAACAATTCATATGACACCAAGTAAGGATTGTTGTGAAATTGATGTGAAAATGTTCAAATATCTTTCAACTTGTAAGTCTGAGGTTGTGGCTTTTTAATTGGAGAAATGAGGTGTGCTCACTCTAGTCTCTCCCTCAAGCAGAGGTTCAAGTGTCTCTGTGTTTTGCTCATGAAATGCTGATAGGTTAGAGAGGACGATTCATGGACAGATTGGGTCCTATTCTGCAGCAAAGTGGGTAATTTCCCAAGCTATCAGGGTGGAGTCAAAAAGTAAAACTTTCTGTTTTTACCCAATTTCTGATCTTCAACTTTGACCGTGAATTGGGAGAGATAAGTGTGTGGATGGGAAAACTTCAAACTCCTGAGGAATTTGAAGAAACTCATCCACGGGCTCAGGGACACTTCTGAGAAACCATGAACAAACACAGTATGCAACAGTCGCTAAAATAACAGTACCTAATTTATGCAAATACACACAAAACTAAAATAAACAGGACACAAATCCCCTAGAGGGGTCTTCAGGTTTGCTTAAAAACAAGAAACTAATGCAAAAGATGTGAATCAGTGCAAAAAGGAGAAGTGTAAGTATAGAACTAAACAATTAATATGTTACTTTTTTTCATCACAGTAAACTTTTTTTTTAATAAAAAAGAAATCAAATCAGATATTGACCAAAAAAATGTGTTGACCATTTTTGAAAACAAACAAAAAAGAAGAAGAAAAATCACTTCCAGTGTTAAAAATCTGAAACCCATCTATAAACAAAAAAGGAAGGCATTTTGCTCTTTCTTGTCAGTTTTGAGACAAACAAGTAAGCATTAAGAATATTTTGTGCCCTTTTTATTTGAGTATCTTTTCAATTATGACATTTTCATATAAAGGTTGGACAGCTTTTCTGGATAGAAATCAATTGTCCTTTGCATGATAAGCATCAATAATTTGTTATTAGCTCATGTTCTGTGTTTGCCAAGTTGTGCTGTTTTTGATCGTGTTTACTCTTAACATTGTGATTTAAAGCAGCCATTATGAGTATCACTTTTTCTGGAGAAGCTGTTTTTGTCCATATGATCAGTATAATAAACACATTCTGTTGACTTTCAGTGAGCGGCAACTTGATTTGTTATTTCTCCAACAAATTTAGTAGAACTGCATGGACATTACCATAGAACATCACTTGTTTGAGCATAAGGAGTCTTCTCTCAAAGTGTCACATTTGACTTTAATAAACTCTGAGGGAAAGAGCAGACCAAAACCAAATCATGCTGGAAGGTTCCTGGGTATAAACATGAAACATAACAGCTTGACCGATCTTTACAAAACACAAAGAACACTTCAAGGCAAAACATGTGATGATGTACACAAACATGGCTGCGTGTGTGTGTGTGTGTGTGTGTGTTTTTCCATCTTAGAGCAGAGGTGAGCAGGGAGCTTTGAACAGGTCCGAAACTGAGGCGTTCCAGAATTTCAGAAGCTTAGATTGTTATTTTTACATCTGAACCTGGGGGGCCAACATGGGTTACAGGACTGTGGTGATGTACATAGAGATCGGCTGCTTTGTGGTCTGCGTGGCCGGGTGGATTTTGGTCTGTTCCACTCAGCCCATTGAGATCTGGACTTGGTCTGAGGTCAACTCTATTGTCCTGACAACATCAAACTACTTCTCCAACCTGTGGAAAGATTGCATTTCTGACTCCACGGGAGTCTCTGACTGCAAGGGAATCCCATCAATGCTGGCACTGAATTGTAAGTACAACATCCTCTCAAAAGTATTCCCGCTTTCTGTGCTTATTCAGATTTCTTTCCTTATGACAAATTTCAGTGCATTACATTGCATATTTCTGTAAAAAAAATTCTGACAAAATGGTGAATAATTGTGAATGAAACACAAGGGACACCATGAATTCAGCCCTGTAATAACACCGCCTTTCTCTACAAATACAGCTGCAAGTTTTTTCTAGTCTTTGTCTCTACTGGTTTTAAGATGGAGACAAAAAAAACTTTTTTCTAATTCTTTCTCGAAAAATATCTCCAGCTAAGTCATCGGGACAATTTTCCAGTCTTGCCACACATTAGTAATGATCTAAACCAGTGTTTTTCAATCCTGGTCCCAAGGAGCCACTATTCTCCATTTTTCTGATTCTATGGATCTAACTTAAAAGAATTGGTGATTGAAAGAGTTTCTGCAGGACTTGATGGCATGAGGAGGAGGAAAAACAATTATTTGAATCAGGTGTTGTCAAGCAGAGAAGCATCTAAAACATGAAGGACTGAGGGTGCTGATCAACAGGTTTGAGAACCATTGATCTAGAATATTCCACGTCAGTGCTGGATATATGTTCAGGGTCATTATCCTTCTCAAAAGCAAAGCTTCACTTCAGTGTCAATTTGCTTTTATTTGAGGCTGAAATCCAAAGTGTTTTTTGAAGGAATATTCTGGATTTGGCTCCACCCATTTTTCCATCATTGACCAATTTCCGTTGTCCGCACAGAAAAGCATTTCCATCACATGATTAGAGCGATGGGCTTACTATGGGCTACAAACTATTGACCTATTAGATACATCTCTGATTGATGTTCTCCTTCTCTTAGCTCTCAGATTAGACAGCTGGCCAATTACTTGATAAGTTGTGTCAATGATAGATATAATAGTGTTTTTGTGAAATGTTCAATTCTTCTTAAAGTGTCTTCACAACTTTCTCCCTGACCCCTCTGATATGTTCCTTGGTGTTTCTGCTTCTGTTTGTTCTATAATGTTCACTAACAAACCTCTGAAGTTTTCAAAAACAAATGGATGTAGTTATACTGATATCACCTGTGTGTGATCTGGTAAATCACACACAAGTGGATCATTTGCAAAATAAGTACCTTCTCAAGATAGATTATTGAACTAGTTTTTTTTTTAGGGGCATCAAAGCAAGTGGATAAAGAGGAATGCAAGGATCGCTTTTCCAGAAAACCATGTTTTTTTTATTCTTACACTTTTTCTATTATGAACAACTGTGTATTGATGTAATACAAAAAAAGCATAATAAAATACATTGAGATTTGTGGTTCAGGGGGGTATGAGTACTTTTTCAATACCCTGTTTGATTAAATCCAAAACATATTCAAACTATTTTTGCTTTTCAACAGGGGACATCCATATGTGCCGGGCTCTCATCATCACTTCTATCATTTTGGCTTTCTTTGGATCCATCCTGGTCTTAGTGGGAATGAAGTGCACTAAGATTGGGGGCTCAGAGATTACCAATGCAAAAGTAACCTTTGCTGGAGGGATGAACTACCTTATAGGAGGTAAAACCCAGAAAGATCTCACTGATGTAAACCCAGTGTTTCACCATTTAAAGTAATGTCCCTATATCATTTCAGGAATGTGTGCAATGGTGGCGTTCTCATATTATGGACACAAAATCAATTCAGAGTTTCAGAACCCAAACTATGTGGAACAGAAGTATGTGTAACCCATTAAATAGTCAACCTTTGTCTGCAAATACAAATCGACAGCTGGGTAGCTTTTTTCTCTTTTCGTCTGTTACCAGGTTTGAGATAGGTGTTGGAGTCTTCATTGGCTGGGGTGGCTCCACTTTGCTTGTCGCTGGAGGCCTTATTTATAGTATCTTAGCAGGGAGGGAAGCCTTCAAATCAAGGTCAGATACTGATATTAAAAAGTTTAAAAAATAAAAAAAAAACATTTGCCCTTTCCATTGTTCTCTAAAATACAACTGTATATCTGTTGAATTTGATCCTCACAGGCCAGAGAAGTACCCCGTCACAGAGTACCCTGCTTACACGTTTGTTCCATCGAGAAAGAGCTACGCATCATCGGCTCGCACAGAGATCACAGGAACCAGGAAGTCCAGGAGCTCCAGCGGAAGCAGAAACAGCAGCGTCTCCGTCATCTCAAGCACAACAAGGAAGACGGGCAGCAACGCTTATGTCTGATTCTTGCCTATAGTTTCATGGGAAAGTATTTTCTCTCCTGACAGATTTGATCTGTTTATGCTTGTTTTTTTTGGTCAGATGTACATGTTTCAGATCATTCAGATCTCATCACTGTATCTACTTGAAGGGCTTTCAGAGTGAAATTCGTTCATGCCTTGTGTTGGATAGCAACATTTTCTTTGCTGTAGAAAATGTTTTGACTTGGTGGTTTTCACAAACCATCAAAATGATAACCCCAAAAGACTGAATGCTACTTTTAAACAGTTGAATTGACTGTTTAGACAGATTTTAAAGATTGCTCATATTCCCAAAGGGATAATAAATCATAAAATGACTACAATTTAAACAAGTTAGATTCAATCAGTCAATTAAGCAAATTTTGAAGCAAATTAGTTTGTTTTGTTTAGGATATTTGTTAACTGATTAAATTTGCTGCGGTAATAAAACAGTTTTTGTCTTTTTTCATGTCAAAACTTTTAAACTTCACAAAACTTACTTTGCTCTAATTTATGACCTATATATTTACACATCCTTATCAAGGGTAACAAAAGTGTGATTTCAGATTTTCTAATGGCAGTATCCGTATTGATTTAGGATTGAAATGTCTTAAAGCAGGGTACAAATGCATTAGATTAATTTAAAAAAAACTGATCACCTCTACAATGTTATCCAAGAGCTTTATTGAAATCAGAAAGAAATGTAAAAATGAAGAATTAATGGACAAGAAATGTTTGTGTACTGAAATGCAATTCAAAGCACTGCCTTACCACAAAGCCTTAGAAATAGAGGAAATTAGAGCTGCTCCACTCAAAACAACAAAATATTCATTCAACCTACGATCCATATAGTATCCCACAGAAGCGTGCCGCTGTATTTCCATGGTACCCTGTCTCTGCTACATCCTGACACCCCTTGGTACTCTACTAAATTCAGCACAATCATGCAGATGTTATCAAAACAGATAATGCAAACAATCCAGGCAGGTTCAATTTCTATCTAGTATACCCAGCAGATTGCATCAAGTTACTGGGAGGAAAGCTCCAACAGAACCTGTGGTGAGTGGGCTATTTGTTATGACTGACCGAAAAGATACACAAGAATTTGAAAACAGAATCAAGACCAACAAGGACTAGAGACTAAAACAATATCGGAAGTACAGCTAGAGTATGACAAAACTATAAACTAAAGTTGTGTCTATCTACACAAATTCTGAGGAAAGGAGGGAGCACTAATTCGATTTTTGAGGACCTACAGAGATCCACAACTTAGGTGAAAGTTTGTCGACAGGAGAATCAGTTTTGTTTTTTTTTAATATGAAACAATGGGAAGAAAACAGCAAAACAAGTTGAGTTTACAGTTTGCTACAAGTCTGTCATGTAGGGATGAAGCAAATTCGGTCCTCTTGTCAAATAAAACTGTTTACCCTACATGCATAACTAACACTGTGGACAAGCCATTCTCATGGTAAAGCATGGTGGTTTACAGATTCATGCTGTGGGGACGCTTTACTTCATAAGCGTGCCAGAGCTGATGTGAATGAGAAGACGGGTGGTGCTAAATACAGGGTAATCCTGGTAGAAAACCTGAGAGAGATCCAAAAGAGTTGAGACTGGCATGGGATGGGACTTGGTTTTCCATCACCCTCCACATGCAAAATAAGCAGGATAAACAGCTAAAAGAGTAAGTTATAATTGTCAACATGGGAGGTGTTGAGAACGTCATGTTGTATCACTATATTTTTGTCATTTATCTCTAATAGTGAGGTGGACGTACTATCTGAATAGCAGATGAACACTCCCAAGCACGCACTGTCCGTTTTGTGCTGCCGTGGCTGCTCTCCGTTGAGCCAAGCGTTGTGGGCGGGACTTAACACGCCACCCAGCCAATCAGCGACCCCCACGACCGGACAGCGGAGTGTGCTGCTGTGCTGTGACTGCTGGGGAGAACAGGGGAGCTATGCACAACAGTGGAAAGCAACACATGGGACTACAGAGAGCTAAGCCAAACATCTGGTAAATCATCACCTGACAGCTTGGGATATACCGAGAGAAGACCAAATTCAACCATGGTTTCCATCGAGCATGTAGCCCACAAGATACTGAGTTACATCCCATATGTTCTTGTTTTGATTGACATGCGATACGAGGGTAAGAGTTGCTAGTTAGCTTTATTCAAATATCCATAGTTACTGTCTTTGTAACGGTGACATTTACTGTAACCGTTATCCATGAGTCAAACTGACCTGTGATTGGAGTTCTGACGTTGTTAGCTTGCTAGGTGGCTAGCTGTTTTGGCTCACCTTAAGCTAGCTAATTATAGTGGTTTAGCTTGTTTTTGTTTGGAAGTTTCTCTCTGTGTTTGACTCTGAAAATAATAAAAGCTAACAACATTGACTACTAAACACGTAAGCTGGCTTTTACCGTGGAAAAAAGAAATGACTAAAAGCTTCAGCTGGTCGGTTATAAAGTTTGAGAGCGATAGGAATCTTGTTTTTTAAATAAAAACTTTATTGTTCCAATTTTTTTCTTTTCTTTTTTTTGTAAAGAGTGATCAGGACACATTCTATAAATTTAAAATGCACTAAAATAAATAACTTTTGTCATTAACATAAATATAAATCGTACAATTAACAACTTGGTTCTAATCGATTTTGCAAAATAAGTTTAAGAAATTTATCAAAATAAAGTTGCTAACTAGTCTTCACATTAACTAACCGTTTACTCTGCTATGACATCTGTTATTTTTGCTACGTTTCCTGCATGGTAGTTAAAGAGCAAAGTGACAGATTGCATAAGGCTGCTTCATTATTTTATACCTGCGAACTCACACCTGGCACCTGCGAACTCACACACCGCAGCAGGCTCTGCAGTAACACCTGTAAGCAGCTGTTATGATATAAAGGGATGGAAGAGGCAAATATAGTCTATTATAAGACAGATATGTGTGTCTACAATTATTAGGTGAAATGCATTTTTGAGGATTAATTTCATAATTGAATAACTACAATTCTCACAGTAAATCCAAAACTGTTAACAAACCAGACTGGTATATTTCAGGAAGTAAAAAATAAAAATAAAGCAAATAATCCTTGCACTCAAGCAGCAAACTTTGTGAAAAGCAGTGTTTTTTGTTTTTCTTAAAACTTGTGGGCCTGACTGCGTGTGCATGCGCGCGCACGTGTGTGTGTGTGTGTGTGTGTGTGTGTGCATACATTGTCGTTATCTCTTCGTGTGTTTCCAGGAGTGAAATGCGGGAAGGATGGAAGTGTCGACAATCACATGGAAATGGGAAAGAAACTGCTTGCTGCTGGACAGCTGGCTGATGCCCTCTCACATTTTCATGCTGCTGTGGGTGAGTAATGGAAATAAAAAAACTTTTACTCAATAAAATGCATTTTAGGAAAGGTGTGTGGTTGTATTTTCTGCCATTTTCCCAGATGGAGACCCCAAGAATTATATTGCATACTACAGGAGGGCTACAGTGTTTCTTGCGATGGGAAAATCAAAGTCTGCACTGCCAGACCTAAGCAGAGTCATTGAACTCAAACCAGACTTCACATCTGTGAGTTTTTTATCTCTGACACCAGAAATAACTTATTACTTCTATGTTTTGTGCAATACGTCACTGCTGACAGTGAGGTTTAGTAATTATTATTATTTTTTTTTTTTGCAGTAGATCAAAACTAACAACTCCATTTCTCTTTAAAAGGCACGTCTTCAGAGAGGAAACCTTCTTCTGAAGCAGGGAAAGCTGGACGAAGCAGAAAGTGACTTCAAGAAGGTGGTAGGTATAGTTTTATGTTTAAACTAAAACACAAGCAAGACTTGTCCAGGAGGGGTCAGTGTTGATCTGTTAACATGATCTCCCTCATTCCAGCCATGGAGGCATGCGAGTTTAAAAAAAAAAAAAAAAAAAAGAGGCTACATTTCCTTTGCAAAAGAGAACATTTGTTGAACAGAGTTACCTTGTAATGTTTGCTTGATTGGATCATCATTATTGGTGCTACAATAAGATTCAGCAGAATGATGAGTTTAGTTATGCTTTTTTTTATTTTATTTTTATGAGTGTCTCAGTAGAAGGTTGCCCGGAAAAAGCAAATTGGAAAAGAAAAACCCACTTTGAATATCCTTCAGATGGTTTATTATGCATTGTCCTTTCATTTTTTTTTTCTTATCACCTTGGATGTGATGCTGTCCTTCTGAGACACAAACTACTCAAACCCCATTTGAGCGTTGAAAGGCTTTCAGGTACATCCAAACATCAAACGTAATCACGAGGAAGGACCATATTCATTAAAACAAAAATGTTTGCCGGACACAATGCTTCCGGTGCTGATGTTGTTACTTCAGCAGTCCGTTCAGATAGACTCATTATGCAGATCAGAAATATTCACTTCTAAATAAAAGGGAAGGCCATTTAATTTTCAAGATTAATGATTTTACTTAAAAATCCACACAAAAAAAATAAACAATGGTTCAATGTCAAAACAGAAACTCCTTGTTTGAATTTCCTCCTTACTGCCAGATGAGCTGCGGTCCCTCTGGAGAGTCCATTTAAGGTGGCGAAACCTTTTACTGTAATATCGCCAAGTAACCTGGCCAGAGGTGGACGCTGTCCTGCTGCTTCAGCAGTCTGCAGCTGTAGTCTAACCTAATGCATCACATTTATGTTCCACTCTGAGCTGAGTTTGCAGGAATCCCTTGAAAGGGTGGTTGGGTCTTCCTGTGCAGCATCTCAGTCATTAGCAGATATTGCTCTGGTAAATATGATGAGAATCTTTACGGCTAATGGGTTCAAGGAGCAATGTTTGGAGAGGAGGCAGCCGATGGCAGGGAAATCGTAGGTGACTTTGGAAGTCAACTTTCGTTGGGATTTTCGGAGGGTTTCTTTGGGCCCTGTTGTGCCTGCAACATTTCAAATTCAGATCTTCCTCATTCTGGTTGTAATTTAAGCATAACTAACAGACGCAATATTGCCTCGCCTTAAAACGTTCCAGCTTAAATCCAACCCTTCGGACAAAGAAGAGAAGGAAGCTATGAGCCAGCTGGCGAAGTCCGACGAACTCCAGAGGCTTGTGGCCGAGGCGCGCCGCAGCTACAACAGCAAAGACTACATGACAGCCGCTGCCCAGCTCGAGGCGATAATTGAGGTAAGAAGCATCGCCTCTGTTGTTTATTACTGCAGAGCGTTCACCGTGTTTGTGAAGTAGTCGCCTGCAAATGTTTGCCTCTGCCCGTTTCCCCCAGACCTGCGTTTGGGATGTGACCTCTCGTGAGATGAGAGCAGAGTGCTTCATTCAGATGGGAGAGATGGGAAAGGCCATCAGCGACCTCAAAGCTTTGTCCAAGCTGAAGAACGACAACACCCAGGCTTTCTACAAGCTCAGCACCATCTACTATAACCTCGGAGACCACGAGATGTCACTCAAGTAAGGAGG